TTTGTGTAGTTACAAACATTTTCAATAGTGTGGACTCGCAGGTCCTAAATGCTCATAAGAAAGTACTGTTATTTACACAGGCAGTTTAATGGTCATTCTATAGGGATAATACCAAGCCTACAGAGCCTTTATACTTCAAACAGATGCACAGTAACGATCCGCACATTACATGATACAAAACTACCCTTCTCTGCCTGGCTTCAGTGAGTATAGCTATAGGCCGAGCCTTAGAGCGTAATGCGTTTTGAGCATACCCTGCATGGTTCTTCTTTTAACGCATTTATCGGGGGATCACGCTATAGTATATTCTGAACCAGACCAGGTACAGTTAGCTTTCAAGGGGCTCCATGTGGCCATCCATATCTCACACTATGTACAGTTGTGGGCCTGTGAGCAATGCTAGTGAGTACAAGGCCTTTCCTTGGTTGGTCCGTCCCCACTATCCTACCCTATAGGGGTGTGGGTATGCCCATAAGTCGTCAGTAGAAACCATGATAGACGTGGATGAGGTGATTACAGTGCTTACTTTCTATGATCGCCCTGACTGCTCCCAGTCACAAAGCAGGCCTATCACTGTAGAGCATGTTTGTCTTGTCCATATATGCATGTGTATGTTAAGATTACAGCTGAAAATCAGAGATGATTTGGTAGAGAGGGAAAAGAAGAAGAGTTGCCCCAAGGCCTAAGTCTAAGTTAGGTAGTGAGGAGTAAAGCAGGTAGGAATGGTCATGCTCCATTGGGCCATCCGCCCCCCCCGTGTTTCTCCCCCCAGACCGTCCCCTTCTATCCGCTACGAGATACAAACGCGAACCATGGTCACCACAGCTCTGCGTGTCTGTCCCCCCTCCCAAGTAGTGATGCTTAGGTCGCCTCCGCTCCCTGACTGTCCTCCACCTTACGAATCCATTCCTCCATTCGGGGTGTCTCCGTCCTCTTCCAGTATAGCGGGATTAGGGCTTTGGCCGCATTAAGTAAATGACTTAAGATCGATTTTTTTGTACATGGCAATCGACATCTTTGAAATATGTAGAAGGGGCAAGGCCGCTGTCCATTCTGTCGTTTCTCCCATGATTTCGGTTATTTTCTCCCTGATCATCTCCCAATATGGGACTATAAGGCGACATTCCCACCATATATGTATTGTCGTGCCCCTCTCTTCGAGGCATCTCCAGCATGTCGGGGGCGTTGTTGGAAAGATCTTGTGGGGCAGTGTTGGGGTCCTGTACCAGAGCGCGATTAGTTTGTAGTTCGTTTCTTGGTAATGTGTGCTAATGGAGCTTTTGTGTTACCAGAGTAATGCACCCTCCCATTGTTGGGGTGTGAATGTGGTGTCCATCAATGCCTCCACTGCCTGCAGAAAGTATCATTCTCCGTCAGGTGTCCCACCAAAAGATGTTGGTAGAGGGTGGATATCGTTTTTTCCAGTGATGATCCTCTCTCGCATCTCGCCTCGAACCAAGTGAGGTCCCTGTGCAGTCGTTCTTTATTGCGTACGGTGTCGTAATAGTGCTTGACCTGCATGTAGCGTAGCATTATCAGGGGAGTCCGGGGTGTCTCTCCCAGCAAGGAGTCCAGAGACCGCATGGTGCCATCTCGCAAAACCGTGGAGATGGGGATATGTTCACGTCCCTCCGCAAAGGGCCATGCTTTCGACGGGAATCCCCCTCCTATCGCCGGGTTGTGGGCAATGGGGAGTAGTGGACTGGGTATGGGTGAAATGTGGGGTTGGTCCCTCATAAGTGTCCAGCTGATAAGTGTCTGAGCTATTATCCCGGCCGAGTCGCCTCTACCACCAACTTTAGAACCCCCTATCCATATGGTGGACTTTAGGCGAGCTTCTTGTCCATCCCTGGTTACAGCTACCCATTGTTTCTGGTGTGTATTGCGTGCCATTCAAGGATACGCTGAAGAACTGTAGCTTGGTGATACCGTCTAAAGTCTGGCAGTGCCAGTCCTCCCTGGTGCCTCGGTAAGCAGAGCAGATCGTGCCGAAGCCTCGGTCTCTCCCCTTTCCAAACATAGTGTATAGCTGCCGATCTCAGTGTGGAGAAAAAGTGTGTGGGTATGGCCAGTGGGAGTGTCTGAAACGAGTATAAGAGTCTGGGAAAGATGTTCATTTTAAGAACTGCTTTTCTTTCGAACCATGATATATGTGGGTATGCCCACCTCCCTAGATCTGCCAGGATTGTCTTCAGTAGTGGGTTGAAGTTTAGTGGGTAGAGCTCTCCCGGGTCCGACGTGATCCAAATCCCAAGATATCTCATTTTACAGGAGCACCACCGGAAGGGAAACAAGGAGTCCAGAGCCCAGTATTCAGTGTCAGGGAAGGTGATATTAAGCACGTCACATTTGGACAGGTTAAGTTTAAAACCCGATATTTTACCGAATTGTTCAAGTGCATCCATCAGACAGGGCATTGTGATTCGGGGTGAGGTGATAAAAAATAAAAGATCGTCCGCATATGCGGCTACTTTATGTTCCACCCCTTGCCAGGAATATCCCCGAATGACAGGGTGTTGTCGGACAGTTTGGAGCAGGGGTTCCAGGGACATGGCAAATAGCAATGGGGACAGTTGGCATCCCTGCCTTGTGCCATTGGAAATCGCAAAGTCGTTGGTGAGAGCCCCGTTCACATGTACCGCGTCCCGTAGGTTGCTGTATAGCGAATTCATGTGAGGAGTCTTTGTCCAACCCCCATTTTAAAGAGAGTTGCAAGCATATATCGCCATCTCACCCGGTCGAATGCCTTTTCGGCCTCTGTAGAGAGGAGGAGGAGTTGTTGCCGTGTCATTCTCGCTCTGTGCTGTATCGTGAATACCCTCAGGGTACTATCTCGTGCCTCTCGACCGGGTATAAATCCCGTTTGGTCCACGTGTACGAGATCCGGTAAGACGGATCGGAGCCTAGTCGCGAGAGCCTTCTTGAATAGTTTGGCGTCCACATTCAGCAAGGAGATTGGGCGATAGCTGCCACATACCATTGGGTCTTTCCCAGGTTTCAGTAGTACAGTTATTATAGCCGCCTGAGATTCAGACCTCTACAATTAATGGTGAGGACAGACAGGGGAGCAAGGCGATATGCACCAGACGTCCCAGGCCCGTTGTTCAACGCAGTACCATCCACCCTCGCCCCCCCCCTCCCCAGCCGAGGCGGGGTGACCCCGGGGAAGGCCATGACCTCCCCGGTGCAGACCAAGGGAAGGTTCAGAGGGAGAAACCAACACAGGGTCAGAGACAGAAGAAAGGAGGTCGAGCAGGATAGGAGACGAGGGGGCAACCCAGGAGCAAGTGAAAAAGGGGAAAGGAGATAGTTAGTTGCCTGTACAAACAGGCTTCACAGCTGAGACCAGAGGTGTCTCAGAGAAACCACCTAAGGTGCTACGGCTAGAAACGTAGAGGCCCTGTCCCGGTAATTAGGCCAGGTAACAGGTGTCCTCCGGGTTCCGCCGTGCAGGGTAAGCACGAGTGTGGGTTGAGGTGTGCGACTCGGCATCGGCCAAGTGTATATGAGTGTGTAAGTATTCGGGAAAGCCCCTACACCCCTACCCCTTGCGTCGCGTAATACTAGAGTCGATTTAGAGTGATCCATTCTATCTTTTAGTGTGCATAAGTAACAGTACCCCAACAGGGGTGCAATGATATCCTATTAACAGCTCACGTACAACAGTACAACCAGATAAATGCAATTATGTCATGTGAACAATAATAATGCGCCATAGCCCTCGCCCCCCCCAACCCCGTCCCCAGCATGCCACCGTGATCCAGCCCTCCCCCCTCCCCCGGTCACCCCACCACCCTATCTCCCCTTTCCCCATCCATCCACCCCCCGCTCCATCACGTACAGTCTGCTGGAGTTCCTGGCCCTGCCCCCCACCCCCCTGCGTCATAAGTGTCCCGGGGTGTCAGCAAAACAATTAAGTCTGGTGTTCAGGCCTATAGAGCGCATTCCAGTTAGGGCAATCGGCATATTAGAGGGTGATATTGATGAACAGCCATCAAGAAGCCTGGTATCAGTAGGCATATTGTTAGTGGCAAATACTACAGTATGGGTACCCTGGAGGGAGGGTGTATTCGTGGGGTGGTTCTGTGGTCATCCTGCATGTCACACGGCAGCCTGTCGTGCCAAGGTTCCGGGCTTCCCATCTAATTGGCAGTGTTACCTCCCTATCTCCCATAGCCGCTGTGTGTGCAAGTTAGGTTGCAGATCTATCGGCAAGCTAAGTCTCCCAGTCACCTCCCCCATATGCTAAGTAAAAGCTCTAGGTGTGGCATGAACTACCTCCATGCCCAGTGGCATCTCGTTGGCCTGGGGAAGTTCCAGTCATGTGTTAAGCCTTCGACATGCAAGGTAACAGGGTTACAAAAGCATATAACGTATGGAGCATCAGGAGACATACATAGGCATTCGACAGGCAAGGTAACAGGGTTACAAAAGCATCTAACGTATAGAGCAGCAGGAGACATAAATAAACAATCGGCAGCTCACTTGCATGTGTCCCCTGACCACCCAGGTCATTTGGTACATCTCCTTACGTGCTGTCCCACCCTAAATTCCCCCACACAAGGTCTTGCAATCCAGGTGGTCATTCCGCCACCCCAAGTTCTGACTGCTCCCATGATGATTCCAAACCCAGGTCCCCCCGGCTCCCCCACCACAAAAAAAAGGGGGGGGCGGGAGTGGGGGGTGTTTAGATCACTCCACGTCTCCGCATACCAGTAGCCTTACACTATGAGGCCCTTAAGTTATCCAAGTAGTGCGGGTCCAGGCCGGGTCAAGAGAGGGACTAATTCCATGGGGGCACCGTGGGATGTTGCAAGCGTGCTTCAGAGGGGCCAGACCCGGGTCTCTCCAGCCTCCATACCCCCCCAAAAGAGCTATGTCCATGTCCCCTCAAACTGTGTGGCAGTGGCTGGGTATTGGTATGCTCGCGTGTCGTCCGTGGAGAGTGCGTCCGGACCCGGAGGCGCGAGTGGCCAGGTCCGTGTAGGGAAGTGGGGTACTCACTCAGCTTGGTCCCCAGGACCCTGGCGACGTCGTTGAGGCAGCCGGCCCATCGGGGATCCACCTCCACGTCTGCGGGGAGCTTGCTGCTGTCGGGGGGTGCTTGTCCCGGCGGTCCCAAGACCTTGGATCGTGGTGGTGAGTAGATCGGCTTTAGTGGCCATGGCAGCTGCCATGGTCCTCAGCTCATTGCCAATTCGTTCCAGGGCAGAGGCTTCGCCGCCCACCGTCGAGGCAGGGGGCCGCGGGGCTGGGCCCGGGCTCTCATTCCAGTCAACAGTTCCACGTGGGGGTTGTAAGAAGCCATCCATTGGTCCCTGTTGTGAGCTCAAGTGTGAATCCCTGGGGGTCTCCAGTTGTTCCGTGCGGCGGTTGCGACCCATTTGTGCCCTGTTGCAGATTATGGATCACTTTTCAGGGTAAGGTGTAGTGGAGCTCAGGGACTAAGCGGCCATCTCGGTCAGTGTCCAAGCCACACCCCCTATTTACACCTGTGAACTTAACATCTGTGGCTTTGAAATGTTATTAAGGGATAATATTCAGGAATTCATTGAGAAAAACATTATTAGCAAACATCAGCATGGTTTTATGAAGAAGCAAGTAGAAGTATAGACCCGGATGTTGCCATGGATGTGATCTACTTGGATTTTGCCAAGGTGTTAGACATGGTTCCACACAATAAGGTAGCTGAACTAAAAGAAATTTGTCTAGAGGAAAGTAGTGTTCTAGAGTACAGAGAGTTGTTATAAATGGTACATTTTCAAGCTGGACAAAAGTAATAAGTGGTGTCCCTCAGGGTTCTCTTCTGGGAACGCTTCAATTTTACTTGTTTATAAACGATCTTGAAAATTGAAAGCCATGTTTCAGTGTTTACCGATGACACAAAACTCTGTTAGCAAGATATTACTTTGCTGCAGAGGGATTTTGACTGGTCAATCAAATGACAGATGAAGTTTAATGTAGAAAAATGCAAAGTTATGCACTTTGGGGTTAAGAATGAACATGCAACTTACATCTTAAATGGTAGTAAATTTGGGATAACAATAAATTAGAAGGATTTGGGAATTATTATAGGCAATAAACTAGGCAACAATATGCAATGTAAACTGGCAGTTGCTAAGGCCAGTAGGGTATTGTCATGTATAAATAGGGGCATTAATTTTCGGTATGGAAAAAAAAAGGTTTATTATAAGCCATAACTGTATCTATAATAAACAATTACAGGCCAAATGGCCTTAATATATATATATATATATATACATATATATATATATATATATATATATATATATATATATTAAGTCCTGATGAAAGTCTGTGATACAGACTGAAACATAGATTTTTATTTTGAGCTAATAAAAGCTAAGTTTTATTCATTCTACTTGGAAGTCCCTGGAGTGCTATCTTGTACTTTTGGCTGTATCTGTTTGCTGATAAGCACCGGGCAAGTACATCAAGGAAGGTGGAGTGCATTACTATTTTTGTCCCTCTGATAGTCCCTGGGCATCCCCAGTAGTCCTAGTACCAAAGAAAGATGGGACCACCCGGTTCTTCCGATAGTCCACGCAGAACTGGGTGGTCCCATCTTTCTTTGGTACTAGGACTACTGGGGATGGAAGGGAACAATAGGGAAGGGAAAGGGGTTTCCATCCTTAAAGGAACACTGTACCCCCTTACTTTCCTAAATATAGAAAAATCTTACCTTTATTCCATTCTGCTGGTGCTGGCTATTCCCCTAAACTGCCTCCTTTGCTGACTTCATCAAAAGTGATGATCTCAGCCAATCACAATGCTTTCTCCAAATGCCGCCCTGGCCTATCAGCATCTCCTCATACATTGAATCAATGCATCTCTATGAGGAAAGTTCAGTTTCTCCATGCAGAGGGTGGAGAAACTAAAAGTCAATGCTGCACACAATCTCACACAGCTCACTACAGACAGCTCACTCCCATGCACACAATGTCACTAAACACAAGCTTACTGACACACACACACACACACAAGCTCACTAAACACAAGCTCACTGACACACACAAAAGCTCACTAAACACAAGCTAACTGACACAGGCTCACTACACACAAGCTCACTGACACACAAAGGCTCACTACATGCTCACTACATGCACACAGAAGAGCACTGGCACACAAGATCACACTGTCACTCACCCTTTGCTGCTGAGGATGGAGAGCTGGAACCCAGGCTGTTCCTTACAGTATGGCTGGCTGGTTGAAGCTGGGGGCAAATCTTAGGTGCTGTTGGCTCCTGCAGCTTGTGCTGCACATGGGAGAAGCTCACAGGGCCCGCAGGGATTTAACCTTCACTCCACAGAGGGGAGGGACTGAGGGAGGAGGAAATTCCCCTCCACTTCTCAAAAAATAGAGCTCTTCCACCGGGGAAGTTTCTCAGAGACCGGGTAAGGAGAGCTTCCTGCCAGTCTCACACTGCATTGCTGCCTTATTTGATGCTGGGCTGGTTGGAGAGACCCTCTGATATCCCCATCTGGGCCACAGCAGCTCCAGGCCCTTGACTGCTATGGAATCTCGGTCCATGACCAATGTGCCCGAGTGGTCAGTCCGCCACTGTCAGTAGGAGTTCTTTTAATGGCTTTTAAAATTTCATCTGACATAATATGATATCTGACATAAAAATATCTAATTTTTCCAAAGGGATATTTGTTAATTCAATTTTGTCTAAGAAGGATTTCTTATTGTTAGATGGACTTGTAATATTGAGCAAACATGTTGATGATTTTTTTGCATGTGTTATTCTATCTTTCTTATCATCTAATAAGTATTCAATTCTAGATTAATGCATTGATTGTCTGAATTTAGCCACTAAGAGAAAAAAAAAACAGTTTTAATGCTCTCAGTGCTAAAGTTGAATGCTCCAACTGAATAACATTAACTTTATTTTTAACCTCTACTATCATAGCCGATACTGATTCTGAAGGGCCAAGATTTTTTTTTGTCTGATTAAGATTATGCAATTATTTTTCCCAAAAATTAAAATGTTTAGATTTTTTTTTATCATACAATTTGCACTTTGGAAGAAATGGCCTTTCAGAACTGCCTTTTGCGAATGCCACACAGTACTACAATTTTTTTCAGAATTTATGTTTTGCCAAAACATTTTCAGCTTGTTCTCTCCATCCAATATTAAATAATCACTCCGTTTCCAAGACCTGTGTTGTGTCAGCGAGAAAGACAGATATATGTAAAAGTATCTATCCAAAAGGATCCATGACCAGACCAGTTAATACTTAAAAGTTCTGATTTGATAGCAAACAGCATAGGGAACTCATCAACCAAGAACCTGTCAATTCTGGAAAACATACTATAAGCAACAGTAATAGTAATAGACTGCATGTATCATAGAAACCCTGAAGATATATTGAGAATATAGTTTAAGTAATCTATCTGTGTCATTTATAGTGGATAAACATAATTTTTCCTAGAATTATCCAAACTGTAAGCTAAAACCAAAGTATTGTCACCAAATACAATAGGTTTTCCCTTGCATATATTTAAAAACGTTAAAAAAAATATTTATATTGGTCAGATTTGGTAAAGTAAACATTTCCAATAAAAAATATATATCCAAATCCAGATCAAATAAATCCCATCCTTATTATCTACAATCAAATGTACTGACACCGCTACCGCTACCGTCAATCCTCTCCAGGCTGCGGTCATCTCTGCTGCTTGTGCACCTTTTTCTTCCACACTTTTCCCTTCCACATAACTTTCTATTAATTTGTTTTGATACAGCACTTTGTTGATCTGCTAATACAGCAAACGAGCACAGCACTAATTTTCTGTTTTATCTCTACTGTGCAGCTATCCACCAATCTTGGAGTGGATTGTGAATACATTGCCTTTAGTTGGGGGTCTATTTATCAGATCAGTACTTTGTTTACGGGTGCCTTTGAAGGCACTATAGGATTGTTTTTATTGATATATTGTTTTCATTTATCAGATGCTATCTGCTTCTATCATTTACCCCATCTAGACCGGTGTCACGATATCCACCCATTTAGCGATTGGGATACCCTGTATCATTTGGTTACACTTCATAGATACTTCTTATTATAGCTAGCTCTACCCATGTATATTTTTGTAGTGTACCTTTGATCTATCTCATTGATACACTCTTAGTAAGGGCATTCCTTGCTTTCATTTTCACTTTGCATCTTTGAGATGATAATTTTTATTATTGTACCATAAATAGAGGTTAAAGGGACACTATAGTCACCAAAACAACTTTAGCTTAATGAAGCAGTTTTGGTGTATAGAACATGCCCCTGCAGCCTCACTGCTCAATTCTCTGCCATTTAGGAGTTAAATCGCTTTGTTTATGAACGCTAGCCACACCTCCCTGCATGTGAATTTCACAGCCTTCCTATATACTTCCTGTAAAGAGTCATCTAAAGTTTGCCCTTTCTTTGTTGCAAGTTCTGTTGAATTTATATTTAATAATTCACCTGCTATGTTAGCCTGCTAGACCCTGCAAGCGCCTCCTGGATGTGATTAAAGTTCAATTTAGAGAGATAAAATTGTTTAAGGTAAGTTACATCTGATTGAAAGTGAAACCATTTTTTTGTTTCAAGGAGACTGTGTAAATCAGATCCAGGGAAGGTGTAGCCAGGGCTGCATAAACAGAAACAAAGTGATTTAACTCCCAAATAGAATTGAGCAGTGAAACATGAGATACATGATCTATACACTAAAACTGCTTCATTAAAGGACCACTATAGTGCCAGGAAAACATACTCCCCCAGGCTCTGGGGAGAGGAAGGAGTTAAACTTACCTCTTTCTCCAGCGCTGGGTGGGGAGCTCTCCTCCTCCTCTCCTCTCTCTTCTCCTCCTCTTCGGCTAAATGCGCATGCACGGCAAGAGCCGCGTGCGCATTCAGCCAGTCCATAGGAAAGCATTCACAATGCTTTCCTAAGGATGCTGGCGTCTTCTCACTGTGAAAATAACAGTGAGAAGCACGCAAGCGCTCTAGCGGCTGTCAAGAGACAGCCACTGGAGGCTGGATTAACCCTATTATAAACATAGCAGTTTCTCTATGTTTATAAAAAAAAGGGTTAACCCTAGCTGGACCTGGCACCCAGACCACTTCATTAAGCTGAAGTGGTCTGGGTGCCTATAGTGGTCCTTTAAGCTAAAGTTGTTTAGGTGACTATAGTGTTCCTTTACGTTTAACTCTTATCTTCACCTCTAACCCTTCCTTGGACTTCCACTCTTAGGAACACGTCATTAGTATTATTATTATTATTTTTGTTTGTTTTGTTTTTTAAATTTATATCTAATATTTTTATGGAATATTAGGAGTGACATTTTGTCTGGAACAATAATCTTTTTGGCGCAAATGTAGTGCTCTGGCATTAGTACATTGATAATATTTTTGTGAATTGGAGAGGGTCTGTAAGACTTTTAGAGAAATGTACTAAATATATAAATGAGAATTAATTTCCTTTATTTGTTTTCACCTAATTTCAGAAGAAATTCTATTTTCTTGCCCTCTCTATTTATGTAGAAGATGGTCTCATTAAAGGGGCAATCCACTGTCCAAATAAAAAAACAAAACAAAAAACCCCACAACAAATCACTGTTTAGCAGATATACACACAAATTAAAACACACTCTTCACACATATAGCACTTTGGCAAGCTGAAGTGCTTTAATGGTCTGGAGTGTGCCTTTAAGACTTTTTTTTTAGATCAACCGACTCCAACATTTATTGAAAGATGCAGAGGTCCTCATTCGAAATGGCTATTAGGAGTCCCAGGTAATCTATTCACAAGAATTTGCAAAAACTACAGATAAAGGTCAATATTTTCATCAAGTGAATGTTTTTTAAAAAAAATACACTTATAATTAAAGGATATGATGAAGATTTTTTAATTGATGGAATAATTAATATTTGTGAGAAAGTTGGATACTATTGTTAATGGATAATGTAAATAATGAGACAGGTAGCATATATGATTTTATTTAAAAAACAGTACAAACCTAGAGCATTTATTAATAATTTTGAAGAAGTATTGACCTCTGTTAATTGAGGTTTCATATACCCCAAGAACCCATAGGTAATTTTAGCAAAGCCAAAAATGTTTAGAATAAATTAGCTCCAAGTAATTTTAGGACTAATACTTTTTTTATTATAGATGTGGTCAGTGGCGTACACACAAACCATGGGGCCCCGGTGCAAAAATGATCCGTGGGCCAACCCCCCTCCTTATTCCCCCCCAACAGACACACACACATACATAAGACACACACACACACACACATAGACACATACACACAGACACGTACATACAAACAGACAGGCACACATATATACATACAGACCGACACACAGACAGGAACACAGACACATACATACAAACAGACAGGCACACATACATACATACAGACACACACACACACATACAGACAGGCACACAAACATACAGACAGGCAGACACACACACAAGACACACATACTTACAAAGACACATACATAAAAACAGACAGGCACACATACACACAGGCAGACACATACAGACAGACAGACACACAGACAGACATACACACATACAAACATACAGACAGACACACACACAAACACACAAGACGCACATACATACATACAAACAGAGAAACACACAAGACACACATACATACAAAGACACATACATACAAACAAACAGACAAGCACACACACACACATACAGGCAGACACACACATACATACAAACAGACAGGCACACACATACAGACACACATACATACACAAAATGTTTAAGTCACCCTCCTGTTTCCTACCTTTAAGGTGCAGGAATGTGACTTTCCCTGGTCCAGTGGTGGCTCAGGTGGATGGGAGTCAGAGTTCCCACTTTGACTCCCTCTGCATCCTTCCGCGCGGCTCTCAGTGTTAGCTGGGAGGAGTGAAGTGCAGTAATGTCATCACAGGGGGCCCGGTCGCGCTGTTAAAGCTCCCTGTCAGCATGGGCCATCCGATGGACCCCTTGGACGGCGGCCCCGGAGGTTTGCCGCGCAGGCCGGGGCCGCAGAAGATGATGGCGGGGATTACCCACAGGGTGGCCGGGCCCCCTGGAGTGGCGGGCCTGGTCGCAGCTGCGATCTCTGCAACCGCAGTATGTACGCCGCTGGATGTGGTGGCTTCTAAGGTTGTAGTCATCTTCCTAAAGTACTTAAGAGTTTTAAGAGTTCTATTACAGGTGCATGCTTTAAAAATAGACATGCTATTAATTGTTCCATCACACATGTTTTTTTTAAACATTATGCACTAAGAACATGAAGTAAAGCAATCTTTACTTCATATAAAGTAAATTTGTAAATGTAAAGTGAATTTGAGTAGCACTTTAATAACATTACAGATATTGAATTGCAACACTCAGTACCATTTAATTGTAATAGATGCCCAGAATGTAATATACAGATTTTTTCTTGTATTGCAATCAACAAAGATTTTTAGATAAAAGGGGGCTTTTGATGAAGTTGAGGAGGAGGGAAGGTTTTTGGATTAATTGACTTTAGACTATGTATCCTAAGGGCCTAAATATAATATGTTTTCTATAATTTATTTTTTTTTGTAATTATATAATTTAAAAAAAAAAAAATTATTTATTTTCTATATTTTTAATTTTTTTTACATTTTATTTTTAATTTTACTTTTTTAAATTTATTCTCTGTTATTTTGTATTTTTGCTATTTTTTATTTTTATTTATTTTCTGTATGATATTTTGTATTTTTTTATAATGTTTTGTATTTTCATATATTTCTTATTTTATTTTATGCAAATATTTTACTTTCACTTATATAGTTTTATATATTCATTTTGTACTCGTTAGTCCTGTGGAGAACATGTTTTTTGCTCATCACTACTGTAGTACTCAGTAAATGTTTTAACATAGAAGGAATTCCTTCTTTTTTAAAATTCTTTTTTGAGTATTTTTGATTATTTTTTGTTATTTAATTGTATTTACTTTTTGATCCTTCTCGACGGTTCTATACTATTTAAATCTACTTGTATTGGTTATCTCTTTAAACAGATATGCTTTCCCTTTTTGGAATGCTTCCTTGTGGTTGGAATGCAAGAGGTAGGAGAAAATAGGAAATCACATAATCTGGATTAGAGTTGGCATTGGAAGCAAGTCTTGGAACACATAGGGAGTTATACGGCGGACCAAACAACTGCTTGGGTAATTGGATACCAGAATTAAATGTCTGGTCTGAGGTCTGGAGAAGCTGGCCTGAGGTCTGTGTGAGGTCTGTGTGGGAGGAAGCAGGCACAGTCAATTAGAGAATGTCTGAAACTTCTGTTAGTTCAGGGGAACACCCCCTGATTGTCATTCAAACATCCACGGGGGTATTTCAAAGTTAATATATAAATATAATACAAATCTGTCCCCCACTGTTACAACAGAGACACAGTGTTAATTAGTAAAACCAACCATCACAGAACACAGTACATTAATTACAGCAAACCACTAAGAGGGTATGCACACAGGGTTTTGTTGTTAATACTATTATATACAGTGTGTAATCACAGCATTTGCATACACAGTCTTCACTACAGGCTTACAGTTTCCTACTTATATTAAGGCTCTTGTATGCACTGAATTTGATTGTATGGAATTACATTTTGATTAATTATTTCACATTTTATTTTTAGTTTTGTCCAAGCAGGGCAAAATCTGGAAATTTGTAAAATACATTTTATTTTCAATTAAATATGAATTTTATATTAGTTTAAATGATCTTTAATGAAACAGTGTGCATCACTGGCTAAGTGAAATTGACTGATATACAATAGGTAAAATAAAGATTTGTTTTTAAGAAGAGCTATCTTACACCCCAACTAACAGTTTCTTGTATACAACAGAATAAATACAGTTTTGCAAACATCAATATAATTAAACTGCTAACAATTGATAAAGTAAATATTCCAATGCTTATTTATAGTCTTACAAAATAGGAAACACAAGAGTTTCATAGAAAAACTTTAAAGGGAGACTATATTCACCAAAACATATTTAACTTAATTAAGCAGTTTTTGTGTTCTATATTTGTTTAGAGATAATGCATATGATATGTGGTCTCAGTGTTCAATTCTCTGTTATTTAAGATTTAAAACACGTTTGTTTCTGTTTATGCAGCCCTAGCCACACTTCAACTGGCTGTGACTGACACAGCCTGTATGAGCACAAAATGGTTTAATTTTCAATCAGATGTAACTCACTTTAAAAGAGCTCTGTTGATTGAACTTTAATTACACACAAGAGGCTCCTACAGGGTCTAGCTATTAACAGAGCAGGAGAAAAGAAATTCTAAATTAAACATAATTTGTAATAATGTAAGTGTAAACATTAGTTGCATGCAGGGAGGTGGGACTACAGCTGCATAAACAAAGTGATTTCGCTCCTAAATGGCAGAGATATGAGCAGTGAGACTGCAGGGGCATGATCTATACACCAAAAATGCTTCATGAAGCTTAAGTTGTTTTGGTGACTATAGTGTCCCTTTAACTTTGTTACTATCTTCTGTGCTGTCAAAACAAAATAGTGCCTCACTTTAAGAAACTTAACAAAATGCTGGACATCATTAAAGCGATTCTATGATTTTGTTGCAATGAAAATAGCTTGTCTTTACATTTTAACAGTTATTTTATTTCCATGTTGTACTCTATTTACTAGGTTTAGTGAGCTTATAGTTGGGGTGCTTAGACCTGGGGAATCTTGAAGTTACCTGTTTTTAAAATGTCATAGATTGTAAATGCTGTAAGTACATCTAACAATAAGTCTCTTACCTAATGCTAATTTCCCATCCTAAATCAATTTAACCATAAATCCTTGTAAATATAATCTGTGACCAATCACAGTTGTTTTAAACAGCACCAATTCTATAATGATGCAGCACCAGGCCCGGACTGGCCATCGGGCATACCGGGCAAATGCCCGGTGGGCCGCGATGGCCGTGGGGCAGAGGCCGGCAGGGAGATCACAGGATCTCCCTGCCGGCCCCTGCAGGGCTAGCGCTATCCGCGGTTACCGCGGCAACGCTCAGATCTCGCGAGAGTGAACTCTAACCCGCAGGTTAGAGTTCACTCTCACCACTGGACCACCAGGGAAGCCAGCATGGTCCCCTCTCCTCCATGGATACCCGGCTCCCCACACCCACGCAGAACGGATCTCCCCCCCTCCCAGGCTAAAGGTAAGAAGGGAGGGGGGACATAACTTTTTTTTTTTTAAATTATTAAGAATTATTAATAATAATGATATTATAATTATTAATAAAATAAAAAAAATATTTAAAATAATTTCCCTAACAGCCCCCAGACACACACAGCACCCCCCAGACACACACAGCCCCCCCAGACACA